TTTTATCCCTCCTTTATTATTTTTATAAATAACTCAAGGCAGCGAACATACCTAATACTCCTTCTTCCTCCTGTTTTCCCACAACTACCTTATGAAGTGAGTTGGGCTGAGAGAGTGACTGCCCCAAAGTCACCCAGATGGCTTTCATGCCTAATGCAGGACTAGAACTCACCATCTCCTGGTTTTTAGCCTGGTGCTTTAACCACTAGGCCAGCACTTTGAGTGGACGATTTTGCAAAACACGAGATAAATGTTTCGGCAGGTTCCATACACACACACACACACACACACACACACACATATACATATAGGGAGGGGAGCAAGCAGACAGTTGCTTCTTTTTCTGTGAAGAAAAGAAGAATATTTATTAATTCGTGAAGAGCTCGAAGCTCTTCAGGAAGGGACACTAAATGCAGCAACTGGCAAGTCTGAAGCAGAGAGAGCTGCACTGATTGGCTTGCATCCTCTGTACTAAGCAATGATAGGCTGAAGGTGCATGCCCAGAGCTCCAGAATTTCAAGTCTTTGGTCATCCACATGTTCAATGTGATTTGATCTGCAGCTGGTAAAGACAAAAGGAAATGTGGGTTGGCATTAAAGTATGCTAGAAATGGCACTGCTCTATGTTAATGCCTATAGATGGACATTCAAGTTACTGCAAATTCTGAGGCAGTGTTGTGTTCCTGGGTATCCCCAAAGGAGGAATTGTAGATATGGAGGTGACAGTAGAGCAACTGGTGGAAAGTCTGAATGTGAACCAATGTAGCAGAGGCAAGCATCATGACCAGGAGCAAAGAAAAAAGAGTGCAGGATGAAGGAATTTGCAGAGTAATCCTCAATGAGAAAGAGTACTGGGAGCACAAAGAAATGATTTGGTTTTAAGTTCTATTCCAAACTCCAACAAATGTTCAAACTACATTTGAACACTTGGGCAAATTACATTTATTTACTTTATTTATTTATTAAATTTTATTAAAAATTTTAAATCACCCAATAGCCGAAGCTTCTGGGTGGTTCACGATAAAATGCAGTGTCATGGAAAATTCAGAAGTACAGAGCACAACACTGAGAAGAACCATGTTTATTGCAAGGATCGTTGGGTGCCTGCTTTATAAGAAAGAAGGACCCCAAACAATGAGAAAGCAAAGATTTTTATAGAAATTAAGGGGTACAAGGCAAGAAATCCTAGGTATCTGTTTTGCTGGCCAGTTTGGGGAAGCTAGGCAGGTCCTTGTCCCTGTACCTGGGATTAGTTCTATTGTTAGGCAAAGGGGCCTTTTCAGAAGGGCAGCAGAGCTGGGAAAGCCCATTGTTAATTAGATGGAATGTTGAGGTAATCAGGCTGATTGAGGACGGAAATTGGGGTCTCCCCTATGTTGCAATTCCCTTGTTAGGGCTGCCCTTGGGCTGTGCTTGTGAGCTGGTGAGCGAGGCTTCTATTCTTTGGTTTAGATAGGATTGCAGGGGGGGCTTTGTCTGGGGACAGAGAGGGTCAATTTGGGTCTAATAGGATTAGGCAAAGAAAGGAGCTGGGATTAACCCTGATCATGTCTAAAAGACAGGGTGAAAGAGGGTATAGCCTCCATTTTATTTGCTACATTTATGGTCAACCACATGTTCAAGGTTGGTTCTCAGTAAAAGGCACAAGACACTAAAGTTCCAGCCCTCCAGATTGTAGACTATATTCCAAACACAGCATCTCCAGCAGCCCAGTTCAGATAAATAGCTTGTTTTAATAATGTAGACATCTATAAAAGTTGTAAAATTGCTTCAGGAGTAATTTCAATGAGCAGATAACAAAATAAGTAAGAGAAACTCAAGATGGTTAGTGACTTAATGTGGTACACATATATGCCAGTTGGATGGGTTAGGATTTATTAGATTATCTGTGCCTCAGTTCTCTCAACACTTAGACTCTAGATATTGTAATGCAGTTATGGGGCATGTGTTTGCACAAACAGAAATGTTGTGGACTGGACCACAAGGCACCCACCACCCATTCTATTCCAGGACAGGCTCCTTTCTGCACTGGTTTAATTTGTGAGGAGTGGAGTGGCAAATCTCTGACTTTTCTCAGTAGCTATGCCTAGTTGGGAGGAAGGCTATGCCTAGTTGGGAGGAAGAGTATGCTACAATTAAAATAGTTTCAGGGAAAATTGGACAACTAATTCAAAGAGGTTTCTTCAGCCTACTCCCTCCAGTCAGGAACACACTCAGAGAACAAGGGCACAAGGAAATAGGATATAGGAGAACAAAAGAAAGGCAAACAAAGATTAGCAAATGACCACAATTGAGGTAATTTTCCAATAAACAAGTCAGAATTCTAATTATGCATCTAGCTTCAACCAGATTGCTGCATTTTTCCTAGATCTGCAATCCAGCTTTCTTGGATTGGACTTTCTGACCTAGCAGTTACCAGCCCCAGGAGAAATGCTCTGTCCTCCCACAGAGAAACAAAGACAAAATGGAGCTACCCAGTCCCCTAATTAAAACCCACCTCAGAGATGAATTTTTCTGCTCCTCATTAGTTATTTGGAGTTTAATGCTTTCTGACCACTATCTAAACTGACAGCTTTATGTTTGATTGACAAATCAGATCTAAGTTTTTAAGTTTTTTGTATCTGAATCTCTTTGGATGGGATTTCCCCCCATCCACTGTAACAATGCACAATACAATTCTGCACTATGGTGTTTTATATTCCCTGAAATAACACATTTAATCAGAATCCAGGCTGTAGACTTTATCCTGTTCTTCAATCTGAAGCAAAGCTAAAGCTGGAACACTGAGATTCAGGTTTGACATCTGATACATACCCATATATATAGGCTCTTAAAAAGCTTTGACCTCAATTTCTAAAGCAATTATTTTAGGCCTAAAGGCATTAAGAATTATGGCCAGCATCTCTGAAATTGGCCTTAAGCACATTTATATGCCTAAATATAGATCAGAACGTTTAATACTTTCTCTAGCATGGGCCATTTTACCTCATTTTCTTTTGCAATACATTCAGAATTTGCCTGCTTCTTTTCAACATGATGCAATTTGCAGCTCTGCCTCTTCCTTAAAAGTCTTATCCATTGCAGGGATCCTCATTTAGAACACAAGGACTATCCTGATTAGAACCACTACTACCATTATGTCTGCTGCTGATTCCAACAGGCTGTTTTATAGGGGCAGATTTAATCAAATGTCCTTAATTCCAATGTAGATTTAATAAAAATTTCCAATCCATAATTTCAAAATCAGTGTGGTTAATGTGCAGTTCCCATTATTTTGGTACACACTTGATGTAAGTAGCACAATTTCCTGTGTTTCTCTGTAACAGGAATGACCACACACCCTGAACTTGTCCTTTTCCTTTTCCTTGCCTTTTGAGTTCATGTACATTTGCCCGAGTAACAGATTCTTTCTGTCTGAAGTCTCGGCAGCCTCTCCTGCTTATGCTAGAGCCCCAAACCTGGCTTTTTCTGTCTCCCTAGAGTCCTTATGTAGACGTAGGTGCACGTCACCACCTGCTCTAATTTTATCCATGTCTGATGGAGGAGACTTAACTGAGCAGCAGGGAGGCAGCTATTTTGGTTTTTCTCTGTGGTTCTGGGTTATATAAAGCATCTAGCCATGACCCATATTGCTCTGGAGCAGCCTTGTATTCTCTCTGGCTCAGATACAGCTAACAGCACCATATATTTCCTCAGATTTTTTTCTCACCAATGCTGAACAGTACTCTTTGTGTGTAGCATTGAAGAGGGATGTGTTAGGGCTTCAAGGCCAAAAGTATTGAAACTCTCTCTGTCTCTCTCTTTTTAAAAACACAGAACCTTTCTCCCAAGCACAATTGGGTTAAGCTGTATAGTTTACTCTTTACTAGCCGAATAAGCATTTATCATTATAGTTTCAAGCAGGTGAGCAATAAAGCAGAGATGGAATAAACCTGGTAACTTAGTACCTGGGGCACTGAGATAATTGGTTTAGTTGTACTGCTGAAGAGAAAAGATTCTATGCAGAGCAGGAAAAAGCAGAAAAGAATGGAGATTTTTTTTAAAAGGCATTTGAATAGTGATTTAACACATCT